AGAGAGAGAGAGAGAGAAAGAGAGAGAGAGAGAGAGAAAGAGAAAGCAAGAGAGAGAGAGAGAATGAAAGGGGGGGGTAGAAAGAAAACATGAAGAAATGTAATGTGAGCAACAAAAGTGCACAGGAGGCTCAGTGCCATGAGTCTGCGAATGACATGTGCTATCTCATTTTATTATGGTAATTCCCACACACATTGCGGAAAAAGGCGCGGCACCATCATTCCGTGAACGCGAAGAAACGCGACGCTTTTATACAGAGACGCTTTTACACACAGAATCTTTTACACATAAACACTTTTACACACAGACGCTTTCACACAGAGACGTTTTTCATGCACACACACACAGACGCATTTCCACACAGAGACTTTTACACGAAAACACTTTAACACACAGACGCTTTTATACACAGACTCTTTTACACACATACGCTTTTACATGCAGATGCCTTTTTACAGACGCACACACACTTTCACACACAAACGCTTTTACACACAGACGCTTTTGCACACAGACACAGACGCTTTTCCACACAGACCCTTTTACACACAGACGCTTTTACACACAAACACTTTTACACACATACGCTTTTACACACGGACGCTTTTACACGCAAACACTTTTACATACAGGCGCTTTTACACACAGACGCTTTTACACTCAGACACTTTTACACACAGACGCTTTTCCACACAGACTTTTACACACAGACGCTCACAAAGCGCGGCACCACTGGGTGACCTCAGTTGCAAACAAAGGTGCGCAAACATAGTTGCAATGGAAATGCCAAAAAATCGCAAAAGTGCACAAGACCAGGCTCAGTACCATGATCAACGCACAATCCAATGCAAGGCATCCGCTCTTTGAGATACAAAATAAGCTCGGCACCATGATGCCGTGGATGACCTCAGTTGCAAACACAGGTGGGCAAACAAAGGCTCCGTACCATGGCATCCAAGAGAATCTAGAAGTCCGTGCAAGAATGCTGTGAATGATTCCACAATAGCAAGTTCGATATCATGATGGCAAGGATGACACCTGTTTCACTGCATTTCTCCGATGTCCCTACAGGATGGAAAAAATCTTTACAGACAAACAACAGTTGGCTACTGGTTTTGCATGTTCGTCACGAACAGTCTCTCCAGACGAACAGTGCTACAGATTAATTTGCACCAGGGCATCGAAGAAATCATCTGCGCAGCTGCAAACACAGATGGTGGTGCCTGCCTCCTTCCAATGGCACATTTTCTTCAAAACAACTGGCCAACCAGCTTTTACCAGATACTGTCCGGTTTCTGGTTGCAAAGAATATTTTGGAGCCAATTCAGCGCTCCCAGGCACAAATGAAAGAATGTGTCGTAGAATTTGTTCATCAAAGACATCCGCCCTTGCACGGATTCCGGATGCATTCCCTCCACGGTCTTTCTGGCAGAACACACTTACATATCCAAATACTTTATGCGACATGTTTGTGCACCAAAATTTTGTTTGTTGTTAACTGCTGTCATGTCCAACGATGTGGGCGCTGCCGCCGAGTATCTTTCAACACCAAGACCCATAATCGGTTGGCATCATCTCTTGCTTCTTCATTTGAAAACAGAATGTAATACAATGTGAAATCGAGCATGAGCTCATGCATCCAAGCTAGTGGCAAATGGCCTCAGAAATGGCGGCCCATTTCCGGAGGGCCGTTCAATCGCAAAAGCCTGAGACCACGACTCCTGCGTTTGACAAGCAAAAATCATTGTCGCATAGACATGCAAACTGAACAGTGAAGCTCACTATGAACGTATCAATTCCCACACAGATTACCACACCAAACGAACCAAGCTCCGCACGTCCTAGCACGGATACACTAGCAAGCATTGTCACCCTCAATCTCTAACAGTTCCATGTTGTGCGGTCAAAGTACACACAAAATCTTTTACACACGAACGCTTTTAGACGCTTTGACGCACAAAAGCCTTTACACACAAACGCTTTTACACACAGACGCTTTTACACACAGACGCAACGCTTTTACACACAGACGCTTTTACACACAGACGCTTTGACACACAAAAGCCTTTACACACAAACGCTTTTACACACAGACGCTTTTACACACAGACGCAACGCTTTTACACACAGACGCTTTTACACACAGAGACGCTTTTACACACAAAAGCTTTTACACAGACGCTTTTACACACAGACGCTTCTACACACAGATACGTTTTACACACGCACACACGCTTTCACACACAAACGCTTTTACACACAGACGCGTTGACACACAAACGCTTTTACACACAGACGCTTTTACACGCAGATGCTTTTGACACACGCACACACGCTTTCAAACACAAACGCTTTTACACACAGACGCTTTTACACACAGACACTGAAACGAAAACGTCCATCGCAATTTTTCCTCAGTTTTTGACGTGCAACGTCCATTTCGTGCGAAAGGGTTACGATTGACCAAGTAAAATCGAAATTTTTCCTCAGTTTTTGACGTCCAACGTCCATTTCGTGCGTAAGGGTTGCGATTGACAACTCAAAGTCGCACTTTTTCCTCAGTTTTTGACGTCCAACGTCCATTTCGTGCGTAAGGGTTGCGATTGACACCTCAAAGTCGCAATTTTTTTCTCAGTTTTTGACGTCCAACGTTCATTTCGTGCGAAAGGGTTGCGCGCGACACCTCAAAGTCGCAATTTTTCCTCAGTTTTTGACGTCCAACGTCCATTTCGTGCGAAAGGGTTGCGCGCGACACCTCAAAGTTGCAATTTTTCCTCAGTTTTTGACGTCCAACGTCCATTTCGTGCGAAAGGGTTGCGCGCGACCAATAAAAGTTGCATTTTTTCCTCAGTTTTTGGCGTCCAACGTCCATTTCGTGCGAAAGGGTTGCCGGCGACGCTTCAAAATCGCAATTTTACCTAGGTTTTGGACGTCCAACGTCCATTTCGTGCGAAAAGGTTGCGTTTCGTGGCGCTCCGGCGGCACCGCCCCCGCCTTAAGAGAGAATAGAAGAAGAGCGAGAGGAGATCTGCAGATGTGAAGGTGTGAAGATGTAGATCGGCAGATGTGCGAGTGTGAAGATCTAGATCTGCAGGTGTGAGGGTGTGAAGATCTAGATCTGCAGGTGTGAGGGTATGAAGATCTAGATCTGCAGATGTGAGGGTGTGAAGATCTAGATCTGTGAAGGTGTGAAGATCTAGATCGGCAGATGTGAGGGTGTGAAGATGTAGATCTGCAGATGTGAGGGTGTGAAGATCTAGATCTGCAGGTGTGAGGGTGTGAAGATCTAGATTTGCAGGTGTGAGGGTGTGATGATGTAGATCTGCAGATGTGAGGGTGTGAAGATCTAGATCTGCAGGTGTGAGGATGTGAAGATCTAGATCTGCAGGTGTGAGGGTGCGAAGATCTAGATCTGCAGGTGTGAGGGTGTGAAGATCTAGATCTGCAGATGTGAGGGTGTGAAGATCTAGATCTGCAGGTGTCAAGGTGTGAAGATCTAGATCTGCAGATGTGAGGGTGTGAAGATGTAGATCTGCAGGTGTGAGGGTGTGAAGATGTAGATCTTCAGGTGTGAAGGTGTGAAGATCTAGATCTGCAGATGTGAAGGTGTGAAGATCTAGATCTGCAGGTGTGAGGGTGTGAAGATCTAGATCTGCAGGTGTGTGAAGATCTAGATCTGCAGGTGTGAGGGTGTGAAGATCTAGATCTGCAGGTGTGAGGGTGTGAAGATCTAGATCTGCAGATGTGAGGGTGTGAAGATGTAGATCTTCAGGTGTGAAGGTGTGAAGATCTAGTATAACGGCTGCTTTTTTACGAAGAACCCTTCGCAGGCGCTCTCGGGAAAAAAAACAGATATATATACCTCATCTCATTTGATTCGGAGAAAGACAATGAACAAAAAAACATTGCTTTCTTGGGGCGCAGAATTCGGGGTGGAGTCTTCATCAGGAGCCATGTGTTAACCCACGATTTTGCGAAACTCGTAGGTTACCAGCGGGGCGGTAGCAATGTTTATATGGTAATTCAAAAAACTAGAGTTTGCAGTCAACCTCCAGTTTACGGTCAGGGTGTGGTTCTAAAAAAATCCGGGGAGTTGACATTAACAAGGACCTGAGGTAGGTTACGAAGAGGACTCCCATAGAATGACATTGATCTATAGTGGGTCTTACAAGGGACCAACCGACTTGACAAACTAGAACCAACAAGATTCTCAGTTTCTGTAAGGTAGGTACACCAGCTGTTCTAGTCATTGTTGATACTAAGGATCTACGTTTTGCGCAATCCCGTGTAAATGTTAATAATTATTAATAATTCACTCTGATAAGTTCAGCTTTTTTGAAATTTGTTGCCCCTTACCATTCCCCATCATTCCCATCATTCCAGTGAGGCCGTTAGAGTTTAATAGCCCAGATCCCATCGTTCCCATGGCCCTCATGGTCTCTCTCAGCAAGGAAAATTTGCCGGGGCTAGCCGGGCTACCCCCCACTCCGTGGCATATTTCTATGCTTCACAAACCGGCCCCCCCAAAAAAACGACACATAGTTGGATTGTTGGGAGGAAGAAATTGATGACTTTTGGTGAAGACCCACGGATTTCCAGCAAATTGTCCCCGAAAAGGGTGTGAATCCGATCAGGGCATATGAAGACGCTGGAAAGTGGTGGCAAAGGTGTGCATGCAGTCCACCCAATCTCGCAAGCCTCTGCAGCTGTTGAATATGTTCCAAGTGAATCTTGTTCAAAAATTGAGCACCCCCCAAATCCCCAAATATGATCAAACATGAATGTGTATCGCCAATTTCCCTATTGAAATTACCATTTTGGGGCGGAAAAAAACCCGTTTCTGACACACCTATCTTTATGATAGCATATGTCTGCATGTGGCAGGTGACATGTCATCCACCATTGGCCTTGGAGAAGGGCTTTTTCGGTGTTTCTTTTGATGGATGAGTTCTGCGTTGATGTTTGAGAGTTACCCTCTGGTAAACATACAAAAAACTATG